ATATATATATATATATACTACAGAGATTTGTTTAACTGACCTGACAATCAGACGGAGGATCGGGTGGCAGACGAGCGAACATGAATTTCTCATTCGGCACTGAAAAGTCCATCATCAAAGTTTCGTTCTCAAAAACAGTAACGAACTGAACCGGAACTCTCTAAAGGGGGTTTTCTCGAATTTTGAAAAAATTGGGAATGTGAAAGCTTGCAGTGTCACAAAAAGTAAAAAATACACTGTCAGCTTCTGTTCAAGAGCATCATGAAGGGTTTCGGTTGTTGCTTCTGAGTGGCAATCACCAAAAATTCGTCCCAGTTCTGTGGGCTCTTCTGCTCAAAATCAAATTATTCATTGAAAACTCACGCATGTGACTTCCATGGCGTTTGGTTCGCTTCTTTTTGGACTTCTTCCGGGATAGTTCATCGTAATCCCTGTGGGCGAATATCATGCCTCTGGCGATCTGTGCCAGCAGAGAAGCCATCGCAGCCCGACGACGTCTGAACGAATCACCTTTACGATCTCATTTGAAGTCAGGTCTGAAGCTAACGCGGAAAGCTCTGCATTTCAGTTTTCGTAGAAGAGCAGTGCATAGCAAACACCCTGTGGATGGGCCACGATTGAGGTATATGATCCCAAATCTAACGGAGAAAGGAGGTGCTGCTAATAGCTGTACCTATTTAAAGGGGTATGCTGACGACTAATTCCCACTTGGGGTTGCAGAGGTATTGTTTTGATGCTTATTGATTAGTCAGCCACTGTTTTCTAGAACTCTAAGAGATGATATCTCATGATACCTAGCAGATCGGGCTTGGCTCCTCACGGTGATCGTTCCAGGCGCCCAATGAAACAAGCTACTGAGCATTCGCCTACCTACTCGGGACGAGTTTTTTGTTGTTGTGATTCGGTCAAAACAAGGATGGTTCACTTCACACTTCCCAGATGACACTAGAAACTCGTCCAAAGTAGGTTGATATATGTAGCTCTAGGCCCACCCTCATGCGAATCACTCATTTTCATGCCTACTGCTCACCTGACATACCATTTCATTTTTTTACACCGCCTACAAAAAATATTTATATAATTCATCTGAAAATAGTGGTTCAATAGAAGAAGAGACAATTTAGTGGGAAAAAAATAAAAAGGGTATAAGAAAGAGGGTACCGTGCTTTAGCCTCTCTTATTAAATAGAACGGATTGCTGCTCTTGAGTTTTCGGCCAAGATAATGAATTTCCTTCAAATACATCCGACCAACAACGTCCATGCACATTGTCGTCAAAATTACTCCACCTGAATTACTTTCAAATTCAACAACTCGCGGAAGGTCTCATAAAGTGGGCGAGTTTTGGGCAAAACTTCAGAATCGAAC